ATTCTTATCACTGCCAACAATAGTCAAACACTGAGTAGAATAATTCTTATCACTGCCATCAATAAAGTCAAACACTGAGTAGAATAATTCTTATCGTTCCCATCAATAGTCAAACACTGAGTAGAGTAATTCTTATCACTGCCAACAATAGTCAAACACTGAGTAGAATAATTCTTATCACTGCCATCAATAAAGTCAAACACTGAGTAGAATAATTCTTATCGTTCCCATCAATAGTCAAACACTGAGTAGAGGTGGCAGTGATAAGAATTATAATTGTTGTTAACTTTATACAACTGGCTTGTTTTATCTCCAAATGGTAATTGTTGTTAACTTTATACAACTGGCTTGTCTTATCTTCAAAACAGATAAAAAAACACATCTTATGGACAGATATATTTTATCCCCTAGATAATTGAGTTTTTAAAACAAAATGTCAAAGACGCTAGTCAAATCAATAATGCTATAAATTTAAGATATTTAATAGCAGAAGAACTTTATCATAGAGGTACACTTATTTGTCATTATAGCACGAATGAAAAGCTTTTATCAAATATTATTAGTTTTAATCTTTAAACAAATTATCAATTGCCTCAAAATAAACATTTATCAAATATCCTAATAAAAATTCAGTGAAATTTTTTATTTTATTTTTTTATGAAAACATTCTTACGTTTTGGTCTTCAAAGAATACTTCTAAAGAAGGTTGGATAGAAAGACCCTTTGGAGGTAGTCGAAGATGTTGTAGCCAGGCTTTTGCTTCTGCCAGAGAAGCGTGAGTTACAGGAATTTTCCCGGGTTGAAAGATTCTCTCTCCTTCATTGATAAAACTTAAAACAATACATTATTTTCTTCAGATTTCCCCTACTTTTACTTGTTAAGTTAATTGTTTAATAAAACAACAAAACATTTATATGGTTAAAGAAACATTCTGAACTATACCATGTATAATATCATCGCATATATTTTTTGTAAGTATTCACATATCATTTTCTCCCATCTTATTCTACTATATTAAATTAGGTATTCACTTGTTTTTTCTGAAGATCTATAAGCTTTACTCTCATCCTACCTCACTATGTTGAAATACTTTTTAGTAGCAATCTGGTCCATCAGAAGACTCATCACATCTTCGATGAACTGGTAAAAAGCAAGCATGTTTGAAGTGTTTACAGCTAACATCAGTATCACACAATCCCCTGGTAAAATACCAAAGATTCTTCGGCTACCTGTAGTCATCCAAGCTATCCTTTGGTAGATTAATTCACGAACTATCTGGACTTGCTCGGCTACTGGTGGTTGATCCTTTTCTTTCTGTTTAAAAATGATCCATACATATGTAAAAGAAAAGAGTATTTTGACTTTCTTAAACATTTATAAATACATAAAAACAAAAAAATTACTCAGTGTTTGACTACTGATGGGAACGATAAGAATTATTCTACTCAGTGTTTGACTTTATTGATGGGAGCAATAAGAATTATTCTACTCAGTGTTTGACTTTATTGTTGGCAGTGATAAGAATTACTCTACTCAGTGTTTGACTATTGATGGGAGTGATAAGAATTATTCTACTCAGTGTCTGACTTTATTGATGGGAACGATAAGAATTATTTTACTCAGTGTTTGACTTTATTGATTGTTAACTTTATACAACTGGCTTGTTTATCTCCAAATGGTAATTACCATTTGGAGATAAAACAAGCCAGTTGTATAAAGTTAACAATAATTACCATTTGGAGATAAGACAAGCCAGTTGTATAAAGTTAACAATAATTACCATTTGGAGATAAAACAAGCCAGTTGTATAAAGTTAACAACAATTACCATTTGAAGGTAAAACAAGCCAGTTGTATAAAGTTAAC